TAAGGCATGCATGCCATGGGCCCTTCCCTCTAGGATGGGTGGGGGCAGGCCAATGGGCTGAGGCCAGGCAGGGGGTTGTGCTCTGCCACCACTGCCATGGGCTGAGGGGCGGGCTGTGCAATACAGGGGTGAGGGGTGGGCCGAGCAGCCCAAGGATGGAGAGAGCTATGGAGCAGTTCAAATGGTTCACCGGGTCCTTGCACTGTGCCTGCACTGTGGAGCTGCCTGATGATTACAAAACTGCTGTCTACACCTCAAAGCCACTGGTTAAGGCTGAGCAGCATAGGTCAGTTTCAGAGCTACTATCAAATTCAAAATTTGGTGTCAATTACGCTTTTGGAAGGGTAAAGAGGATCTTGCTTCATATTGCAGCAAAACTTTTCAACATGTTCATCAAGGATTTGGATTTTGGTATTAAAAGCGAACTAACGAAGTTTGCTGATGACACCAAACTATGGGGGAGTGTGGTTACTCTTGAAGACAGGCTGGCAATACAGGCTAACCTAAACAGGCTTGTGAGGGGGTCAGACCAGATGTCATTTAATACAAAGAAATGTAAAGTGCTCCATCTGGGGAGAAATAATTCACAACACACTCACAGGCTTAGCAGCTTGCTAGCACCACATCTGAATGAGGCCTGGGTGATGTGATAGACAACAAAATGAACATGAGCCACCAGTGCGATCCTGTAGCTGGCAGAGCTAATCAAACACTGGCATGCGTCTACTGAGGTATCTCAAGCAAAGCTAAGGATGTCATCCTCCTGCTCTACTTGGCCTTGGTGAGACTGCAGCTGGAGTTTGGGTCCAGTTCTGGGCACTGCACTTCAGGAAGGATGTGGAGAAGCTTGAGAGTCAAAAGGAGGGCCACATGCATGATTAGAGGCCTAGAGACCAGGTCATATGAGGAGAGGCTGAAAGACTTGGGACTGTTCAGCCTGGAGAAGAGAAGACTCAGAGGGGACTTGGTGGCAGCCTATAAGTATATCAAGGCATACATCAGGGCCTGGAGGAGCAACTGTCCACCAAGGCCACCCAGGGGAGGATAAGAAATAAAGGGCACAAGCTGATTGAGGATCGCTTTAGGCTAGACATAAGGAAAAACTTCTTTATAAGTTGAGTGCCAAGGGTTTGGAACAGGTTCCCCCCAGAGGTGATACAGTCGCCCACCCTGGCAATCTTCAAAAAACGTCTTGATGCCCATCTTGCTGGGGTCATCTGAGCCCAGTGGTCTTTCCAGCCCAAGTGTGGAAAGGCTGGACCCAATGATCTGTAAGGTCTCTTCCAGCCCCTAGCATCTATGAAACTATCATGTCCCCCTTTTAAGTGCCTTTTTTCCAAGCTGAATATGCGTATTCCTTTCAACCTCTCCTCATATAACTTGTCTTCCAAGCCGTTTATGATTTTTTCACCTGCCTCTGGACTCTCTCTAACTTCTCCACATCCTTTTTAGAGCTGCCCAAAACTGCACACAGTACTCTAAATGAGACCTAGCCAGTATCAAATAAAGGGGCATTATCACCTCTCATCTGTTGCTCCTGTTGATGTAGTCCAAAACTGCATTTGCTTTTTTTGCAGCTGTATCACACTGCAGAATCCTTCTGTAATTCTCTAATCCTTCACAAAGTCCTTCTCTAATTAGGATGCTGTCTCAGCATTTGGGAAATGGAAGTTCAAATCCTGTGCTACCAGAAACTTCTGGGTGACTGTTTGCAAGTTACTTAGCCTCTGTTCCTCAGCTCTCCATCTATAAAATAATGTTTCCCTGCTGCACAAAGATGTGGGGAGGAATAAATACACTAAAGAGTGGGTACATCTATACAAAATGCTGACTGCGCAGTAGCTACAAAATATGTGCAGTAGCACATCACAGCATGGACAGTGCTAATATGCTACTGCACAGTATTAGACTACTGCACAGTTTTGAACTACTGCACAGTAGCATCTCCTGAAAGATGTTTGCCAGCACTACTGTGCAGTAATTCTGGTTAATGCACATTTATTTCGTACTTGCTAATACAAGTACAAAATAAATGCTCAGTAACAACCATGTAGTAGTTTCTCATGTAGACACGCCCATTGTGAAGTATTTGGGTACCATAGGAATAGGTTCCATAGAGGTATCTATCTATGGTACATGTAAAGCAGCTATAAGAGAAGGTAAAAAAGGATGTTGGTCTCACCTGGTTCTTCATGTATTTCTTCGTGGTTTTTAAACCAGAATATCTGGGGCTCTGGGATGCCTTGCACTTGACATTCTAACGCAGCAGAGTTGCTGGAGTTCACTGTCTGATCACTGAGGTTGCGCAGGAGGGATGGGGCTTCTTGAGCTATAAAATAAAATGATACTTCAGTTATGACATGCCTGCAAACATCTGTTTAAAGTACAATCTCTTGCAGGGCTGCTTTAAAGTATCACAATGTGAAAGCTTTCTGGAGACATTCTACTAACATAATTATTTCCCCATTCTAATTAATATCCTTATTTACAAAAGAGCTTTTAATGTGACCTGGTGATTCCTTCTTAATTAAAGATTATTCCCCTTAATCAACTGTAATTGGGAATTATATCAGTCATAATCCATGTGATTTAACAAGAAATGCTTTTTTCAGATATTGTGTTAAAGTTTCTCTGCATTTTCTTACAAACAAAAGATAAATAATCTACATGGGAAGACTGTTATCTTCAGGAGAAACAAATTATAAGGACAAGTTTTTTAATGGGTTAGTGGAGTTAGTTTTTAAATGAGAATTTTTGCATCAGCGATGGTTTTATGCAATTTTCTACTGGATGTGTACATGAATGAAAGTTTCATTATTTATAAAACTGTGAAGATCGACATTATTATGAGCCTTTTGCAGTAAACTATCATACTACAAAACCAGAGTTGTCAGCACTGAATCACAGAGCAGTAGGCATCAGTCTGCATAAGTTCTTTAGTTTTTATATTACACAAACACTTAAGAACTAACGAGAAAACTGAATTTGGCAAAAACACTTGAGAACTAACCAGACAAAATTGAATTTGTAAGAAACGTATCCATTTTCCCCAGGTAGTTACCCCACCATAAAATGCAAGTTCCTAAAACAGCAACTCAAGAGGTAGAAGCTGGGCTCTTGGATTTTACACCATATCACAATACACAACTCCCCTTTTACAATAGTCACTATTATCTGTTAACATTCATACAAATGTGATAAAAATCAAATGTGATGACACAATATTTATTGCAACAACTGTCTTGAAAGTATATTGTATACTGGACGTACACCTGCAATGTGCTCTGACTCTGTACAAAATGAACGTTCCAATCAAAGATAAAGGAACCCCAAATAAGTTTTAAAACACAGCATTAGAGTCACCTCTGTAATAAGAGAAACAATTGACACTAACATTCTTTTCCTCATCATCTCCCAAACCATACATTTCTTCCCTCCTTTTTCCACAGAACTAAGGCTGTAATGACAAAGATCAGGGTCTTTACAGCACTGCCAATCATACAGCACAACTTTCTGCCACAATTGCAACTTCTCATAATACCCCTTTTGTATTTTGGTTTTGTAAAGGTTGAGCAAGAGCCGATGCATTATAGATTTTCTTGAATTTCCAGTTCCTGCAGGAATTGCTTCACTCTGAAATTTTTCTTTCAAGGAAACTTCCAGGATTAGATTTTACTAATGTACTAATAAAATAAGAAATGCTTCAGTGGGATGAGAGACAGCAAAAAACTTTGTCAAATATTTTAACAGCAATAAGACACATTCTTTATTGAGTGTGTTATATCCTTCCTAGAGATTGGACTCCATTATCTAACAAGTGTTTCTATTCTTACTATAATTCTATTATCTGATTTTGATGAAAAGCTTTTCAGTAAAGCTAGCCTCCTATGTATAATGTGTAATATATATAAACGCAAGGGCACTGAAAGTTTTCCACCATTACCCCTTGAAGTCAAATTCAACACACCCATCCAGCATCTCTGAATGATGCATTCTATCTGTAAATTCCTTGGGGCAATAACTCTTATAGCTTACAGTGCAGCAAGTAGTCCATTTTCAGTCTATAAACAATGCCAGCAGATGAAGCTTGAAAGTCCTTTTTTTCATGAATTCACTTGTTTTTGCTGGTAATGGCAGAAATAGG